GCCTGCCGAGAAGGACAAGGCATGGGAGAAGCCACAGCCAGACTGGCTGAGGTGCAAAGTGTGCAACAAAGCTGTCAAAGGTGAAGAGGCGCTGAAAATGCACATGAAAACTTCCTCACGCTGTGGAGCTTACCGCGGTGAATCCACCAGGGATCCATGCCCCCTTTGCGGAAAGATGATTTCGAAAGGGGAATGGCCAGAAGGGTTGCCATGTTGCAGAGAAGCAAAGGCAGTTCTCAGGAGCCGCAGTCGCTCCCCGAAGCGCAAGGCTGATGTGGTGGATGTTGAGGTGCCGAGGCAGTCTCCTTGCAGCCAAGTCGTAATTATTGCACAGTATCTACATGTTTGTAGTACAGGTGGTGCCCCTGAGTTCTAAGTTGGTCTGTAACCCCATTAGCCACAGCTACTGTAAGTCCTACTTCTTAGAGCTATCTTCGCCAACTTAGCTATCGTAAACGAGGGCCCCACCTTGTAGTTTCTTTCAGATCAGCCATAGACCCAGTTTCGGTCCAGCTTGTGCCCTGTCAGGCCTGCATTTAACTGGTCTCTGGGAGACCGCATACATCTCTCGGGCCAAATGTGACGTGCCGTGCCTGAATTCAAGAGCTGAAAGTGAATAGGGCACTACGGGTGAACCATAGGGAAATGGATAAACATAGTTATGTTTTTACCAGTAAAAATGGGGAACAGGATGATAAAGGGTTCGAAAATGGTGATGTTTGACTATTCAAGATGAGATTCAAGCAACTAGTGTGGATTTAACCATGAAATATTTGCGAACGTCTTTGGCGATAGGCCCACAAATTGATGGCCATGAAAGATTGGGAAATGAGGTTTTGAACATGTTTGAACCATGGGAATCCATAGGATGAGTTCCAAAATTACAACAAATCAAACCCAGTTCCTGCGTTTGTGAGCTTTGTGGAAGATAATTTGGGCTTTGGAGGAATTTTGTCCACTCTCAAAAGAAGGGCAGGGAGCAGAGAGTGGCAACCAATCAATGGTAGATTACAAAAAACCATTTGATCGCAAATTAAATTATGTTCTAAGATTTCTATAAATTGATCATTCAATGGATTTCATGTGGCAAAACAAAATCAAAAGCACAAGGGTGTGTTGCCTACCAACTTACCAGTTGACTGGATCGGGGCACTTCCCAAGGTGAAAAACTTCGGTGAGGTCTGTGGACTTTTGAAGGCCTGGATTGCCCGAACACCGAAAAACTGCCGATTACCCCAGAAAAAATGTATATCGGCAAAAAGGGTAACAGAAACCAGGCAATGAGGTTTTAGGGTTTAACAGTTTTTGAGACAAACCTGTATGGGTATGGTAGTACGGCTCAACATTTTCTTGCTCAACAATAATTGGATTGTGTTTTTGTCTTGGCACATGGTACCTGAAGCCGCAGGCGTAAGGGCCACAGCTGGGTCGTGCAAGAATTGGTGGTTTTATAATGTTTTATACTGAATGGCCCAACATTGTGGGATTTTGGATCTCCAATTGTGACCCATATACCATGCAAGGTGGTGCCCCCCCAGTTGTAAGTTGGTTTATACAATTTATACATGTTTATCATGGTTTATAACCTCCATTACCAATAGATATATCTACCATTTTGCGGCGTATTTGTTGGAGTTACAGCATGTATCAATAATAGTTGGAGTAACTTAGTCAACTTTGTTGGAGTCTCATCAACTTAGTCAACTTAATAACTTAGCTATGTCGAGAGCCCCACCACCCATTTGTTGCTCCCAACTCCTCAGAGGATTCCAATGGCCCAATTTTTGGAGGCCATCGACCAGGTTTGGCCCAAGAGGAGTTCAACTGAGGCAGGGTGTTGAGTGCGCCCCTTAAAACAAACATGACATGGACATATAAGCACGAAAATTGCAGTGTTGTGCCTTTTGAATCGTTTCTGTTGAGGAAATGTAGGAAATTTGGACTTTGCAATACTTTGAACATGATTTCCTCACATGTCCCTAGGCAAAACTTGAGATTTTAACAGCGTTTTTTTGAGGGAATTAACTGCCCGCAATCCATAGTATGTCTCTTCTGTGATTAAGATCCACTTTGAGCCTCGCTTGTAAATGAGAGTTTTGGCAATCCAATCCCCATTTTATTGGTAATATGGGTTTGTTTGAAAATGCCGCACCCCCTATTTTCAACAGATTAGCATCATGTGTCCAAAGATTATGATGGCAATGGTTTGGGTATACCGCAGTTTTGGACAAACCCATATTATATCCACTGTTTTGTTCAGGATTCCTTTCCGCTAAAAATGTCCTGTCGTCAAGGCTGTGCTGGAGTCACGATTCGCACGGCTTCATCCTGGTACTGTGGTGGTTGTGGCTCAGCTGCGCTGGATGCATCTGGATGTCTTCCATGGGTCAATTTCATCAGGATATTGAGAGATTTGAAGTTCACCCAAAGAAAGTCGGAATTCAGCACCAATAACTGGGAAACAACTTGATCTTGATTTATCTTAATTTACAGGAGATACTCGTGATACAGTGTGTTTGTTCAGAATTGGGGATGTTAAACCCACTATATGCCTATATGGCATATTTAATGGGAAAGATGATGACGAACCATTGCTGCATTGACGGGTGTCCATCTTCTCAGAGCAAACCTTACATAATGGGTATGTCACTGAGCATTCCAGGAACAAAAGTGAGCGAGTTCAACAAAGGCAGCAGTTGTGGTCGGCATTTTGCCAACCAAACACGTGGGATCTCACCCCAAATAAAGTTCCTGCAAGAATATAATCCATTCGCGATAAGCACCCAATGGCATATAGCTGTTGGCTTTCAGCAGGTAACATTCCATCTAGAAATGGACGTTTCCTAAAGACCGCATGATCATCCCAAATTTCAGTATATAATTGTTAATAGGAGAACAACTAATATTTTCTTTACAGTACAGATAGTACAGTACTCCAATTTCAAGAAACACCCAAAATGGGGGCATTTCCACAGAGCATCTCTTTTTGCATGGAACCTCCCTCTCAAGATGGGTCCATGGTGAACATGGCTCGAAATGGCCGAAAAAAAATCTCAGTCGACTGGGGCAAAAGCTGAGTTATCCTCAAGAATTCGGGCACCCTCCAATAAATGAACGCAGATATGGACAACCCATGACGTTTCAAGAAAATCATCCACAAATGATTGTCACAAATGTCATAATGATGGATTGTCCATATCCCATATGTTAATTTGCTGCGGGGCTTGTCTCTAAATTATGTACCCCAAATCGGCTCCCATGGCCATCAAGCCGCTGTCCAGATGATAATGTCTAGGGGGACCAAAAAAAAATAAAAAAAAGCCGCCTCATTTCGCGGTGAAAAAGTATCATTTCTGAGGAACATACCGCGGACACCAACCAGCGAATCAAGATTCATTGCACCTTGATCTCATCGCTGGGATGGGGCCCTGGGGCTCAATGGCGGTCGACTCCACCAGAAGAAATGGCCGGTCGGTTTTTGCGAATGGCCGAAACAAATCATGGTGAGCCATAGCTAATCTGGCTATGGCTATGGCTATGGGCTCAAAGATTCCAGACCACATGTGTTGTCTGGTGATGGATTTGGGATCATTTGGGTATGTCTCAAACTTAGGTACCGTACCCCAAAAAAATGGTTCATCGTCATGGAGTAATGTTCTCAGAATTGCCGGTTGGTTCCATGTGGGGTTTGACCTCACAATTTGCTTAGAAAGGCACGCAACTCAACCATCAATTGAATAGACAGTCCGATGAGAAGCATCAGACTCCGTCCAATTGTGTTTGATCCCACCAGTGGATGAAATTTAGCGCGTCCAAGCAAGTAGTTTGTATCCTGTATATATTTCTTGATTATATCTATATCATACATTATCATACAGTATAATATACATATATATATATTATATTATATTATATATACATATACAGACATATACGATAATACGTTTATGATCGATTATGTATTTCCGCTCTTTTTGAAGCTAATCACAAGAGCATAATTCCCCGAGGTGGTGTGGAGAATCCCAGCAACATCACCATGGACATTGGCGACACACAGCTCACCTGGGAAGCCGGGCGTTGCTATCTGGTGGATGATCCTTGGATGTTGGAAAACAGCCTAGACAGCGGAAAATATGTGAGAAATGGCTAGAAAATGGTAGAAATATGTAGAAATGATCAAAGACATGCGGCTTTAAGATGTTTAAGATGTTTAAGAAGCTAGAATGGAGTAGTTTGCCAACACAACATGTTTGAAGCAAATCGAATCAAATCAGGACATTGGACATGACGGGACCTGGTGATGCAATGGTGGAGCTGTTGAACGAACAGAAATGGGGAGATTCACCGATGATACACTGGCAATCCATATACCACGTAAATAAATTGGTCAACTATATAAGTTTCGTGACACTTTGTTTCACCATTTTGGTGTAGGAATGTCCAGTGTGTTGCACAAAACTGTGTTTTCTATGTGAGAGGAAGCCAACATTTTGTGTAAATTTTGTGAGGGACACATGTTCAAAGCATGGAGAGCGCCTCCAAATTCCCCCCTTTACATGTTCGACTTCTCTTTGAACTAAACAGCGACAAGACTTTCGCACAGATTTCGCAGCATTTCGGCTGTGGTTCAAGGCATGGGGCACAAATGATCCATTGAATCCATGGACAGCAATGGCAGTGCTGGTATGAAACCATCCGATCTTCCGATCTTCCAAATGGTGAGACATGGCAATAGTTTTGTTAAATGCGTCGCTTGGAGTTTGATCTAGTAGCAGTAGTAGCTAGGTAGTTACATTTCCAGTTGCCCGGGCAAAAATTGCAGGAATCTTGGAATCTGCATTTTTTATGATCAAAAAGTGTGCCAAATACATCCAATGACACCACACCGTGTTGGCGATGCATCAAAAAAATTGGAGAAAGTGTTGGCTGATATTCACCACGACTGAAAATTCAGTGATATCACCATGGACCACCATCAGTGTATCGACTAATTCTCACCCATGATGCGGCGCATCAAGCGTGAGGCAACTCCGCGTCCATGGATCCCTTTGGGTTTAGCCGCCAGACCAGCCATGTTCTTGGCATCCCACTGTTGTTTGGTATCCCGACGATCAAATTTACGTGTGTCAATGTTGTTGTCGGATTATTTCACAAATTAATGAAATATCCCATGTTTACTATTTAAGAGCCCTGAGTTTATTGGTTAGCTGCCTACCCTGAAATCGCTTTGATTGTTGCCCAAAATTTCATGCTCAACATGCTATAGATCACAACCAGGTACAGCTCACAGTTATTCCCATAGATCGAGGCTGACGAAATCCATCTTCAGATTGGTTTCTTTGAAAAGTTAGGGGAAAATCCGACAATGCACTGGATAGTCACTGGTTGGTGGTTTGGAACATGGCTTTTACGACTTTCCATTTCATATATGGGATCATCCTTCCCATTTTTCCGCAGAAAAATATTTTTCAAGATGGCTACTGCACCACCAACCAGATATCTAGATATTATATATATATATATAATCCACCAGATAAACCATCATTAACCATTGTTAAACCATTGTTAAACCATTGTTAAACCATTGTTAAACCATTGTTCCCCTAAGAAAACAGCGGATTTCCAGATGAAAATCACATCTGGCAGGCGGCACTGCTGCAGGCTGTGAGCAGCGACAATGCTGCTGAGGTGGGGAACTTACCAACAAATTCAGTTAGGATGACTGTGGGATGAAGGTACTATAAGGTAATCGAGAATCATTTTGAATACTTTAACATACTTTGACTATCTTTGACTTGTTTGCCATACTCATCAGCCAAGAGTTTCATTTCTTGCAGTGTGTCTATACAATTGTTTCTTGATTTTTAGGATTTAATCAACAAAGATTGAAGTGTATGCGTATACCTATACATATATATAGATACCATCATATACCCACGAATATCAACTAATCCCTATTAATCAAAAGATGGTCGCTTTAGGATTTCAATCAACAAGAAGATGTGACGGCCGGAGATTTTGGAACACCTTGGGCCCTGGGACCGCTTTGATGGCCACATGTTCTTGCAACATGCGGCCACTACGTGGTCAGTGCCTACAATTAAAAACAAATTAATGGCTTTGTCCAAAACCTGCCTTATCCCAAAATCCCATGGTTGATCCTCATTTCCCATCATTTCCTATCATTTCCCCATTAGAATTGCCATGCCGGTATTTTCAGACCGGCACCACTACTTGTTTTCCATGAACCAACTTGTGAACCCATCTTCCGGATAAGTTTTCCATTTACCGGTACCACAGATATCAAGGTGACAGACCTTCAAGGTTGGCCATTGACGTTGGGTAGAGCCCATCAATCAATGTGATAAACCTGATTGCAGTAACGCCCACTTTTTATTAACGTTATGAATATATAAATGTTATGTCACAACCTCGTTCAATTCAGCCATGATTTACTCTATGTTTTTGGGGTTTACCACCTTTCCCCAATCAAGGTATCAACCATTCACCACGGCGCGCCGTAGGTGTCTCTGGCCATGGGCATTCCGGAGGCTGGCGGAACAGCAAGCGAAGATGTGGCAAAGGAGCAACAGGAGACGGCTATGGGTCAAAACCCGATCAGTACCCTGGTGAACAATTAATAGGTGAATAGGTGAATAATTCATCCCCCATTAATTATATTAATTGTTAATCCCTTAGGTGAATATAGGTGTTACATCCCCCATTAATAGGTGATACATGGATGTTCATCCCCCATGTTCGATCCATATCCAGATCAGTTTCTTGTGACCCAACAGAGCGGGGCTCCGGTCGGCAGGCACCCCCGTGATCCACACGACGCATGGATGGCTCATCTGATAAGCGGAAAATCTGGAGATTAGTAAAGCAACAGACCTGAGGAATCTTGAGGATATACCCTCTGGTGATGTTAGAGATTTCAACATATACCCTCTGGTTATGACTAACATAGCCATGGGAAATGGCCCGTTTTTAGATGGTGTACCTATTATTACCTATTAAAAATGGTGCTTTTCCATGGCTATGTTAAATAACCAGATGGTAATCCCACAATGTAGAATTACAGGCAAAGAATGAACAAGGAAACATGAAGCGATGATCAATGGATATGTGGAGTTTATGTTCACACGAGTTTTTACTGGATATGTAGACCTACTGGTGCATGGTTGGTGAAATGTTATTTCAGCCATGTGGAAATGCACTTCTTTGAGATTCTTTGAGAGGGTTTCCAAAGACAGTCACGATGAGGCATCCAAATTTCAAGCGATTTGCTGAATAGTCTTAACCGCTGGAACTAGTTGGGGATGGGATAAAACCATATAAAACCTATATAAACCTATGATACCATGTGTGGAAAGATGAACAACCAGCCATACTGTACCAGCTATTCTCATGTTCACCAAGATACCAAGGTTTTGACCAGAGGTCAGTTGTTCTTAGTCCTTGTAAGCCAAGCACATTCAAGGTAAGGCATGATGACAACATTGGGTCATGATCAACCTCGCAATGTTTTATTCTTGATTGAAGGGGAATGTGTTTCACCATGTGGATCAAAGTTGATTTGATAAAATCGTGGTTCCCATCAACAAAAACAATCAAAGTAACTTGATGATCAAGGCTTAAACCACACCATTAAAGTCAAAGTGTTTTTGAGATTGGATGACAGTCGGAAAAAGGAAAAACATACATCATCATACATCGAGGTGATAAACATGGATACATCTTATATTTTACATATTGTCATATATTATTTCAATTATACATATATATTTTTTTTCTCACATGAAACAGCTATAATATTGCCTTGTTTAATATCCCGAAATGGCTCAAATCTCGTGCTTTTCTCCAGGAGTTACTGGCGCTGAAGGTGAAGCCCACCTTCAACGATCCCAAGGATGCCAGCGCCTTCTTTCACTCCATCGCCAGCGACCCGGTTTTGAAAAATCCTCCAGGATCCTCGAGGGGCGGCCAAGACGATGTCAAAGTGCCGTTGTGTTTTGATGATTTTGATGTAGATATATCTACCATTTTTCGGCGTATTTGTTGGACTTACAGCATATATATATATACTGGTTGGTGGTTTCAAACATTGCTTTTATTTTTCCATATATTGGGAATGTCATGATCCCAACTGACGAACTCATATTTTTCAGAGGGGTGGCTCAACCACCAACCAGGATGTGTTTGGGGATTGAGAAACGATGAATTTGGAAGGGATCATCATTGACTGTCATCGTCGGGTTGAAACAAGGGACTATAGTAGCAATGGTTGGGATTTGAAACGACGACAAAAACGAGCGAACATAGGTTGAGAATGGTTAGGAATGTTTTTTTTCTGTTGAACCTGTTGTTTCCCCTTGGAATTGTTTAGAGGTGGTTCGGGGCATCGCGATTTCTATGTCAAAGCTCGGAGAGTTGCGGATGATGGAGCTTGCTCAATATGTTCCTCCTATGTTCAGAGAGCAAAAGAATCAACTTGATCCAAGCATACCATTTAAGATATAAATTCAACTAATCAAACCAATTAACTTTCAAGAACGTTGAAGTAATGATGTAAGTGGAATGACCCCTCCCAACCTCCCAAACAAACCCTAGATGACTAGTTCAGAACAACACCCCCAAATAAAGCATCAATGGCTAGTTGAGAACAAGGTCTCCCAAAACCAGGTAGAGATTAGTATGAGCTCTTACAGTGGAATTAGAAGTACCCTCAATGGCTAGTTGAGAACAAGGCTTCCCAAAACCAGGAAGAGATTAGTATGAGCTTTTAGAGTGGAATTAGCCGTTCCAATCCTTGAATGTAAGCGGAAATGATGAGGTAGGGTTCGAATGTGAACTGCCCAGTGTTGGTTTTAGCTGTAAGGGTTGCGTAGTTTGGTGAGGGTAGGGTCGAAAGTGAACCTATGTGGTCTGAGTTGGAGTAGGGTCGAATGTGAGTATCCGCCAAATCGAATGTGGCCATTGACCACCATGAGCCAAGGGGGGTTGAGGTGGGTGTCCAAAGTGATCTCCGCAACAAGTCTCTGCACACTTCGCAAAACCTCAGTCTCAGTTGTAGCCATGTTGGATGGAACTCGAACACCAGACATATCCGACTTCGAACATGAGTCGCGGTTCTGAGATTTTTCTTGCTCACATCTTGACCCCTTCCTTGTCACAAGGTTTCTCTGGACATCAACTCCACCTCGCAACCCATAGTTGTGGACCCCTGTCCCACTGACACATCCGGAACTGGTAGATCCGCAGCCAAGGACACTGGAAAGTCAACAAATAGCCATTCTCTTGGACAAAAAAAAGTAACTAAATCGAAATCCAACATGAATTTAAATCCAACATGAGTAACTAATGTAACAACATTACCCAAAGTTTTTTCATAAGGTCAAGTAATGTTGTTTGCTTTCCTACTGGAAAGACGGGTAAATCTCAATGGGCAACTTCCCGGTACCTGTCGTGGGGGGAAGCTGAGCATGTATGGATGTAAAGTGATGTGATGTACTGTATTGTATTGTAATGTAATGTAATGTAATGAGAGGTAATGTTTTGTATTCTATTGTAATGTAATGTATTATTATGTTATGTCATGTAATGTTATATGATGTTTTATGTGTGTTTATCAATATATATATATACACACATATTTGGATTCTATTTGTTAGACGTCCCTTTTGACACTAGACAACCAATTTCCCCATCCATCCCGATCCTTGGAGGTTACGGTATGGAGTTTGGGCTGAACGAAAACATTACGCAGCTGGCACGGCGCAATGACAAGACCCAGGCCTTTCAGCTACTCCTCACGCTGGAGCAATGCGGCGGATGTGACGGGACCAACTATACCGGAAGACAGGGACATTGTGAAATGAATATAAACATACAGGAAGCTAGTGGGATGTTAATGGGATATTTCCTGGGGTACATAACCGATGCTGCTGGTGGTGCTGCTGCTCCTGCTGCTGCTCCTGCTGCTGCTGCTGCTGCTGTTTCTGCTCCTGCTGCTTTGCTCTGCCACTGTTGTTTCTTCTAACACCATTGTTTTGTTGTTTTTGTACCAGTTACAATACCAATAATTACCAATCCTGGCACTGTTTTGTGCCACTACTGCCACTGCTGTTGTCCTTAGTGCTAATTCAAAATAATGATGACCGCGCGTATCTTTGCAAAGCTTTGGCCCAGGCAAAGGTGAACCTCCGTAACTAAGAATTAAAGGTATTCCATTTGGGGGGCATAAGAGTTTTGGCGGTCGCTCAAAGATAGATGTATATCCTATCTATTTTTTCCCATATATATATAGTATTATATATCTCCCATTGAATCCCATTGCCCACCATATTCCATCATACATATTCCATCATATTCCAATAACAACCTCCCACTATACATGTGTATATATATATACACACATATTTACAGTAATTATGTATGTATATATATATATCCTACTATACCAAAAATACTACATATGTATGTGTATATATATATATATACATGTACTGATACTGACAATAATATCTAAATATCGCAATTGACATCCTCTTTTTCGAGGAGAAGCAGCTGGGCCTTGCACCTCCCAGGGACCTAGATTTGGAAGCTGCCTTGCTAGCGGATCCTCGGATGGAAGATTGGTCCTGCAACGGAACAAAGGGGCTATCCTTTGGTAATTTATTTGATAAATGACAGATGACCCCTTTTTTTTGTAAATTGCAATCTACTTGCAACCATTCATTTCTTGCTTACTTACGAGTTTGCATCACATAGGAATGTTGATGATATTCGTCTAAAACGGTCCCAAAATCAACCCAGTTGTTTCATTGTTTGAAGGGAACAAGATGGTTTTGGGCACCCCAATTTCAAGAAAATACATAACAATACGAGCTTACCTTCTGAGATTTAACTACTGTACCATGGAAAATCACCATTTTTAATAGGTAAATCATCTTTAAATGGGCCGTGTTCATTCACTTTTCCCTAGCTATGTTGGTTTTTACGGGGGGTATTAGATGGCCGAGAATCGCCGGAATGTTTTCGTTTTTGGGCACCAATGTATCACATTAAGAAACAGCCAAGTGATCGCAGCTATGGAAAGATGATCGCTGGGTGGAAATGAGTTGGTCACCCGAAAATGTTGGATATGGACGACAAGAGTTGTGATTAATGCTCTTAGTTTCCATCTCTATACGGTTGGAATAGTTTGAGTTTGTCATGTTTCCCATGATGTTCCAATGATTTAGATGGTTGACCATCCAATTTAGAGTCAAACGGTCCAAATCGTCTCTCGGTTAGGCATTGCGAACCACAATTTTTCAGTTATGTAGTGAAACCCCTGTTCTTTGCTACTTAGATTTCCATATAAATCCCGACTATTTGCTGCTGAAACTCCCAGATGTTGATAAATCCTTATATAACATTATGTAAATCTATATAACCATATAACAACAATAGAACTATTTTGCGGATTAAACCATGTTTTTTCAGGATGCATAGAGATGAACTCATGTCCAATGATTCATCCCCCAATTCTTCCGTCGAGTCGGTCCCAGGCAGTGGCGAAGAACCAAGGGGAGGAGATCAAAAAACTCCTGCAGTCGGAAGCAGGAAGGGAGCCCGAAGTCGGGGAGTAGTTCCATGACATCATATGACATCAGCATTTAGAAGTGACCGATGGGCCGATGGGCATTAATTGATGGGACATTAACTGATGGGGATTTATATAATATATGACATTACCAGTCATTAACATCTTGGAAAGGTGTTTCTTTTCGGGTAAACATACAAAAAGATGTGGAAAACAACCATGGTTTCCTGAGGAAAAGGATCTAGAATCTAGAAATGATGGGTTGCTCACATCTATGTCAGTTTGCAGGAGGGGAACCAGCAAAAATGGGTAAGTTATACTTGATGTATCTTGATGTCATTTCATTTCACGAAAAGGATTTCAACGAAGCAATATGACTGACTGCTGGGCTTTCTCCGCCCACAGAACTGGGAAGGGTACCCCCAAATCATCCAAAATTCGACGATTTATGTATTGAAACGCATGGTTTTGGGATGTTTTGGGGATTCCGTTAAGAAACCCCCATGGGTTTGTCTGAAAATAGTGTACCTCAAAAATTTGATGATTATTTTCGGATACCCCCGGTTTTCAACCATACGCATATCTATGGCATTCGTTTGTCAAGAACCGGTCGCCAATGGTCGACCAAATGGCCAGGAAAATCAAGGGAAACATGTGGAAACTCATCTCACACACGCATTATAAATTTAACATGGAATCTGAAAATTTGGATCCCAAATGTGATGAAAAACTTACCTATTTGTTGGCATGTTTGGGTTATGAAATTTAGGAGGTGTAAATGAGGATGCAATCCACTTTGGGACGATGCTGCTCACAGGCATTCAAAACCCTTATGTACATACTTCATGTATCTGGATACTTGTATCGACAGCACGTCGCGATGTCACTGGAATGATGGATAGCAAGTGGGTCACTATCCCAAAATGGCCCTGATTCAGGGTTGTGAACTATTACAATCTATTCAGATATACAATGTAATATGTGTCAACATGTAGGTTTTGCCCAACATGCCATGGTGCTTTTTTGGGTTTCCTCACTGCCGTGAGGACAGGCCGTTTTGCAGTTGCAAGTGAAAGAAACGTGGCTCGGAAGTTTTGCCGCTTTTGCCGGAGGATCATCAACAAACCACAAAAACCAACGTACGGTACGGATCATGGGGATTATGAACATAATCATTCTTGGCCAAGCAGTAAAATGTGTATTAATGGAATGATACCAGCGGTTTGGCATGGCTGAATGTCATCAGTGACAGTTGCTTGAAGCCACAACATGCCAGGGGCATGTCACAAGCGGGCCATAAGCACATGAGCAGGATGAAGCGTGCGGGGGTGGTTGAACCAGAGGTGATTCTCAAACAGTTTGACATGTTTTCAACATCACCTGAATCTATTAACGATTCCTACATGAGTAAGGTCAACAATTCCATAGCTTCCAACTGGGTGAGTCTCCACTAACGGTTTGTCTGAAAATGGAGGATACCCCAAAGTAGCCGAAATGATGATGAACTCGGCGGGTCAACAGGAGTACCCTTTCTAACCCCCTAGAAGATGCCGGAAAGTGTTTCCAGGATGGTACTTGGATGATATTTTCCTTATACCAACCCTCAGGTTTTCCAAGATGTTCCAAGTTTTTGGGCATCTTTAGTCTTTTGGGTAGTCTTTTGGGTACCCTCTGGCAATTTAACATAGCTATGGAAAATCACCATTTTGAATGGGAAAATCCACTATTTCAATGGCCATTTTCAATAGCTATGTTAGTTTACCAGAGGGTACCATTGGGTACCTATGGTCATGCATGACTTGGGGCTTCAGACATCAGACCCAGGTTCAATGACCCGGCGGAGCTGACGGCGTTTTACCACTCCGTGGCCACCTTTGGACTGAAGTTCCAGCTGGGCGACAGCCTGTATGACCTCGCGGCGCCTCAGCGGGAGGTCCAGGGACAAGATTGGGTTGTGAGTTGTAAGTATATATATACTGTATATATATATATATCTATTATATATATACATATATATATATATATGTACATATAAAATATATATATATATGTACATATAGTATATATATAGTACTGTATACACATAAGATCTATCTCTACAAGCTTTGTATCAAGTTTATAAGATATGGACATTGCATAACACATAGAGGTTTGAGTGACATTATTTGGACTTACCTTCTAGAGATGAAATGAGGTCCGCAACGAGCGCCCTGCTGCTGCCCAAAGCCTCGCGAGCACCACTGAAACGCAGCCTGGCAAGCGAACCACAGATGGGCTTGCGTAAAAGGGCAAGACCCAAAGGAGCCACAAAGGTTGGACTGTTTTTGAAGTGGAAATTACTGTAATTGTAGTAGCTATCGAAAAAAAGTTAGGTTGCTTTGAGTTCGCAGTGACTTGCCATTCTATCTCTGGGAATGTACACTTTTTTGGCAATGCTAACTGGTTTGGTTGGAAAGGGTAGCAGTTCTCTCAACTCGCCCAGTTGGTGATGTCACCATCGCAAGTGTCGTCACTTTCGAAAGAAAAAGCTGGTGGCATCCGTCGGCATCACTCAATGTAGAGGAATGGAGAGGATTTCCACAGGAACTCAACTTTCACTTGATTTTTCCACGCAAGAG